TGTATAATTTGGGTTAATTTTTAATTGTTTTCTGAATATAAACACATATAAATAAGAGATCAATTAATATAAAAAGGGCCAGCTGAACAAAGAAAGACTAGTTTTTGACTTGTCATAGTTCTGTGTAAGTCAAGTACAGCCCCAGTTTTGAGGATGGCAGAGCTGAGGGCTACATTCCCTGTGAAGGCAACTACTCAGAGCCCCCCCTAGGGAGATTTTTGTATTGTTTACAGTGAGCAAGGAGACTGCTGGTGAAGGCAGCACTGTGGGCTAGTAAGGATAAGAAGTCAGGCTTATACAGAGAACTCTAAGGAGTAACCTCTACCTCCTCCACCCACTGTTCTTTCCCATAGCAGGTGAGAGGGCGGGCCTATATCCCTGGGCCTTCACTGTTCCAGTACCTGCCTGGCATCCTCCTGTAAGCACCCGTGCCTCTTGGCCCAAGCATTTCCCTTCGCTGCTGTATAGCACCAGAAGAGGAGCCAGGCATGGCACTTGGGCAGTGGCAGACCTGGAGGGGAAACACCTCCCTTTCCTACTCCTCAAATGGGATATCCCTGACACATGCCCTACACAGTCATCCAAGTTTCCCAATGGGACTAAGCACCAGGTGCTCTGAGTGGTAACCCACTCAATCACACACTCCTACAGCCTGCTTTCCTTTCCCCATGCCACTTCCTCCCTCTTCTATCTGTGCTTCCTGGGACTGCCTCCCAAATAAACTACTTACACTCAAATACTTGTGTTAGGATCCTTCCTGGGGGATTCCAACCTAACTCACTTGCTCTTTCAATAGGGACACTTCAGTATAGTTTTAGGATTCCTTTCCCCTTGCTGCGATATTTATTTCAATCAGGTTTCCCCCACACAAGGTATCTGGTTCCTTTACTCCTTGGAGATGAGCCAGGCCCTACAGTGGCTGCCTTGATCTTATGAATGGTGCTCAGATCCTGGGAACAGCAGTCTATCTCATCTGGGATGTAAGAACCCTTTCCACCATCTCACACTGGGGTGTCATCTTCTCTGTCTTGTGCCTCTCCTGCAGTGGCACTGGTCCTGGGAGCACCTTGGACACCTCTCCTGACATGCTCATTTCTGTGGCGAAAGCCACTGCATAGCTCATCCCTGCACACCATGCACACAGCCATCTCCTGTGGCTGTGCAGGCTTTCTCCCTTCAAGTTCTTCTTCAGTTGAGCTGTAAGGCATTTCTTCTGCCCAACAAAGCCAACAGAAACGGATGCTTCTTTTATTGCAAACGTGGGCAGTTTAGGGGGTGGGTCCTCTGCTTGCCATGGCTCACCTGATTCAGTTTCAAATGCTACAGCACAAAGGAAGATCATTTCCTCCCTTAAGGCTAGGTAAAAATGTAGAACTTAAAGTTGATTTTATTTCACCAGGAATTTCTCCAACATTTGAAGAGCTACCCCTGCTACCCTAGAGGGCATTGTTGCAAGGTGGTTAATAGCATGGACACCGAAGTCCAATGGCCTGGGTTTGAATTTTGGCTCTGCCTGGCTGTGTAGTTTTCGGGGAGTTAACTAACTTTTCTGAGCCTTACTATAAAATGGGAGCAACAATATCCTCTGCTTCCAGGGTTGTTGAGAAGATTAAATGACTTGATATATATGAGGTGTTAATACAGCACCTAGCAAAGTAAAAGTGCAGTGATTATTACCCATTGTTACTACTAGCATTAAAAGTGGAAGTAACACCTTTATAACCATTCTCCACCTGATCCTTGCAGGGAGGGTTACCACAGTCGAAGTGACACTTCCCAACAAGTCTTTAGCTCTATAATGAAATCCCCTGGTCCTCCACACCTATCCAGCCCTGCCAGAGTATAATCAGTTCGCTTCTACTTCTAGTACAATATATTTCACAGCATAATAGTTCAAAGAAACTGCACAACCCCCATCCCCAAATGTACACTCTCATTCACAAACACTACCTTGATCTTTCTTTGTGTATATTCTCTAGTCATTGTTCTTCAACCAGAAGAACACGCCTGGAAAAAAACAGAATTTGGCCCCAAAATAAAAAATAACAATATATATAATAGAGGTGAAGAATTATTATAGTAAAATTTTTGAGGATTCAAGTGGGGCTTGAAATGTGTCTTTTTGGTATCTATTTTTTGTTAAAGTTGACTAAATAAGTTAATAGTGGAAACAAGCATGACGGATGAATAGACTAGCTATTAATCCTTCTAAGTGAATGCATGATTCTCAAGAGCAACTACTGGATGCAAGCCAACAATGGATGTCCTACACCAAAACTGAGCCAGAGTTTTATATTTAAAAAATGGACACCCACCACTTGACGACTTTTCTTGGCATCCAACTTACTGCCTATGGTTGAAAGCTATACATCCACTTAAAAAATGTATCTTTTTATAATTCAGAATTATTACCAATTTGATAGATCCTCTCCCCTTTATTAGTGTTTTCCACCTCAATGGCCATCCCCAATACAGGCCCTCCATTCTGTTAATTCCTCCTGCCTGAACGGAGCCTGATTTCCTCAGCTCCATGTACTCCTCCCCAGGCTCATCCTGCACAGTACTGCCTGCCTCATTTTCCTTGTGACTGCTCTGCTCACAAGTCTTTCCTTCATCTTTTCCAACACACACACACACACACACACACACACACACACACACACACACACACACGTACTCTCTCTCTCTCTCACTAAATAGAGAAAGAAATCTCAGTTCTTAGTCTGGCACCATAGTTCCAGGTACCAAATCCCACAACGTAACTTTCCAAGCTCATTTTTCTACCACTGACTGGCACCCTGCCTGTCCTTCAACGCCAGCTCATACACCACCTTCTCCACCAGGGCTGCGGCTACCCAATTCACAGGAAGCAGGACTTTCATTCTCCTCGTTGCTCATGCCTGTCCCATATGACTGGCACTTTATCACACACCATTCTCCGCCTTAGAAAATTGCTTTGTAAAAAGCACCTTTAAGGTAAGAAAATTGTGGCATTCATAGAGATACCTACTGTGGCTTCTCAAACAGAACAGATGCTTAGTAACTATTTACTGATTCAACCAGTGACTTGCACTACGCTTCAAGAAAGGCCCTGGAGACCAGTGACCAAGACCAATTCATATCACTGCCCAGAGAAGAGGAGCTTGGATTTCCACTAAGCAATAAGACATAACTCATATGATAAGGAATTGTTCAGGAATTAATATATGATAAGGATTAACTAAAACATTACTTCACTGAAATGTATTTTCCTTTTAATTGGTTGAACATCAATGGAAAATTAGAAAAGGCAGAACATAAATTTCTCCAAATTTTACCTAATTGATTCTTATGTAGCCAATATTCAAAGCATTTAAGGAGATGACACCTTTCCATATAAATGAAAAGACTTCTAATTATTATATGCAACATTTTAAAGGGTTGTCAACTATACGTCTCTTGCTCTAATTTTAAATATGTCCTAAAAGGAGACTCCATAACTATATGTAAAAAATCAGTAGTGTAAATAAAGGAAAAAAGCTTCCATTTTACTGAAGTACCATTGACACTGCCATACTAAGAATATGTCTACCAAGAATGGCATAGAAAGAACTAACTGGCTTATAGATTAAAAACACATCAATTATTTCATGACCGAATGTCAAACAGAAAAACTGCCTGAATGGTTTAGAAGTCTATCACATCATACCACATTTGGCCCACGTCGAATGGCATTATACATCATTTATCATTAAAGGCCTTTTTATATAGGTCAAGGTTGCTGGGGCTTGGTGTTTTGTATCTTACAGTTTAAAGAATGCTCTAAATTCTAGGTTTTTTTTTTTTAACTTTTTAATCTATGAGAAAGGAAAACTAAAACTTCCTATAAACTCAGATTAATGCCTGCTAATGCACGGAAGAAAGAAAAACTAAACCTTCCTCCTACTATAAAAACAAAATAGTGTGGCCTCTGTTTCTTTTCTGATAAGAGTCTTAAATACCAAACAGTTAACTGCATAATAACATTTACTGGCAGCCAGGCAGCCTGCTTAGCAGATATATAAAGCAGGTAAAAGGAGAAAAAGTTAATTTCTTGGCTGAATGATTCCATCGGTAGCTATAGGGCAAACCTGAAAGTCTTTTAGTAAAGTAGCAGTTGATTCTTCTATCAATCTGTAGCACACATACTCTTCCAAGGAAAGCATTAAATATGAAAATCATATCCCGTTATCATCTGTTTCCAGCTTTCAGCCCAGTAAGCTTTTCTTAATGAATGCTGCAGCCTAAGGAACAAGCACGCTGTTGGCTTTTCTGAATAATGGAGTGATGCTACCATTTTTGCTTATTACAATATCGACTGGCTGAGGGGGTTTCACATATAGTCACAAGTGACTACTCTTGCCAGCATGCTCCAAGTTATTACAAGATGTTTTTAGACATTTCATCTAAAAGAGCTTTACTGCTTTTAGCGAAGAAAACATCTATGGTCTTGAACAGAATCATTTATATGGAGATAGGCAGGAGGATTAGAAGCCTGCATTACAGCAGATACATAACAGAATTTATTTAAGTATTCCTTGCTGATCTTTTTGTCTATTGCTTAAATATGCAATCTTTTCTTTCCACTTTTTCTGTGCAAAGGTTAAAATGTACAAAATTATATATATTCACACAAAAGAATCAAAATGCCATATTTTGTTTACTTTTCATTTAAAACTCTTCTCAAACTAAGAAAAGAGCAGCTAGAAAGCATGATTTAGAAAAACGATTTTACCTATTGAGAACATTGAGGTTTTCTTTAGAGTCTATCCTTTTACCCCAAAGTAACTCCTTCTTTTCAGCAAATTTAATTAAATTAGACATTAAAGCAATACTCTGTAAGCAAAAATCTTTAAATAATCACTTAAGGTTTAATCAAAAGGATCTTACCAATAAGATGATTTTATTTAAAACAATATCTTAAAATATAAACACTCTAGAAACTCTCTGTTAACAGAAAGTTTATCACTTTAGTTTATTACCTTTTCTCTGTCTTCATCTTTCAGTTCACATTTTAGTCCTAGGCTATCTTTTTCGAGCAGCATCTTCTTAGTTTGAGTCTCATATTCAATCTAAATACAAGCAAAGTTTTATTTTGTGATAAATATCTTTACAACTAGCATCTGTCTCTATATTGCAGTCTTTACAACATACAGGGAGCACTGAAGTAGAAAGTAAAGGCTGATATTGCCAAGAAATTCACCTTATCTTAGAAAATGAACCATTTTGCAAATAACACATATCAAAAGTTGAATTTTACAAGATGCTACAATTTTTAAATAAAATAAGATTTGGGCCGGGCTCAGTGGCTCACGCCTGTAATCCCAACACTTTGGGAGGCTGAGGCGGGTGGATCACAAGCTCAAGAGATCGAGACCATGGTGAAACCATGTCTCTACTAAAAAACACAAAAATTAGCTGGGTGTGGTGGCGCACACCTGTGGTCCCAGCTACTCGGGAGGCTGAGGCAGGAGAATTGCTTGAACCCAGGAGGCGGAGGTTACAGGGAGCCCAGATTGCGCCACTACACTCCAGCCTGGCATCTGGCAACAGAGCAAGACTCTGTCTCAGAAAAACAATAATAATAAGATTTGAGTGATTTTTACTTTCATCAGTTTAGGGAATAAAATTTATACATATATATATACACACACACACACACATATATATATATACGGTTTGATACTTTATCACAAAAATATAATTGCTTTATTAGGGAAGTAACACATTAGACAGTATTTCCTTCTAAAAGTTTTACCCCAAACAAAAGAAAAAAAATCAATCCTACTGATTTCTTATCTATATATCTACATAACATCATGGTTCTGATAGTCACAGCAATTGAGTATACCTGCTAGATCATCAGCTTAAAACAAATTCCATTTTCTATGAATAAAAATATACTGCAGACATCAATGATCAGAATCCAGTTTGCTCTGGCACTAATAACTACATAAAGATGTCTGCATCATTACTACACTATAATTGGTGAAAGTGATTCAATCTTAAAATGACTTTTTCTTAAAAGCAAGGCATAAAAAAGTACTTTGATTCAGTATGCTAGTAATTAAAGCCTTAAAAAAGTCATGGATTGTGGTCCATCACAGATAAGTATCAGAACATTTTCTAAATTAGGCAGTTATGCACTGCAATTAGAAACACACCTATGAGATGATGAAATTAGAAAGCTGTTTCCTTCGTCCTCTGATAGAACATAAAATAGGCCTGAGCTTTGTTTTGACACACAGAAAACAAATGGGCAATAATAACCAAACTGATTTGTTTCCCTCAAAATATTTTAAGAGGTATTATTAATATATGCTGTCTCATTTTTAGTAAGAGTTAGGTATGGATTTTTTTTTCCTCCAGCAGAGTACTATTAATATGTAGATGGCAGTAATTCTCTAAACAGATACCCAATTAAATGAAAATTTTATAAGACCAGTACAAATGATAAAATAATAAACTAAGAATACATAAAGCAATAACAAAGATACAATTTACATCTCTCTGTACTATATCTATTCCTTTGAACTTAGAGATGTTTAAATTGTAACCCCAAGGGCTTTAAACAGGCATCCTTTACAGATTCCAAAGAATAATATCTCAAAAAACAAATGGGGGATGAATTACAATATAAACATACAATTATAGTTAAACAAATTTTTTTTCCTGTGACACAAATGTTTTCTTATGCTCTTTGAGATCAATGAATATTGTGCCTGATTTCCTTATTATAGGATCATTTCAGAGTCATACCTTCCAAAGACAGAGCACTTTCTCATAGAAATATGGGAGATTTGTTCAATTCATTTTGCTGAAGGAAAAAGGAAGTGATAACTGCATAAAGGCTTCCTAAAGAACAGAAAGAAGTATCTCTAAGAGCCCAATTTAGATTGCTCTCAATACATCTGAAAAAGTCACTGAACTGTAGATATTCTAAAACAGAAATGGCAGAATGAAGTCAAGGAGATACTATGATAAATTAATGACTGATACAGACTGTATGTCTGCATTCCCTAAGTCCATGGGTTTCCATCAAAAAATGCTTTGTTCTCTTTTTTCTTTTTTTTTTCCTTTTATTTTTACATGCAACACTTGGTTATTATCCATATCCTAAACACTGGAGAGCAGGAGTTTTCCACAGTGCTCTTCAGAGCCTGCTCATGCCCCAGTAACATCTCCTGGTCTAGAGACCCTCTAAGGATAATCCCCTCATCTCCCCCGCCCCAACCCGAGAAATCTGTTTTAATAAACCCAAGAGCACTGAGTTAATCCGTCAGGTAACGTGTTCTGTCTGTCACCGTATCCCTTCACAGCATTGGCTTGATGCTCCCTACCTAAACTTAGCAGGACCTTCCCATTTACTTTCTCACTATGCACAAGCAATTTATTTCAGCTTAATTACTGAAATCTGTTAATAATGACTGGGAGTTGACAGAGGTTCTGGCAGAAGTTTCAGGTCTCTGGGATCTCTCTCCATGCTCACAAACGCTTTCCATTAGGTTTCTTTCCGTATTCTCATTTCCGTCAATTTCCTCTCCATCACTTCACTGTTTGCCTGAAAGTCCCACCACTACCTTTTTTGCCACAGACTTCCTTTTTCATTGTTCTCCAGGGTTGCAGAGCTAATTCTCAGGTAACAGAATAAGTAAACAATTGAAAGGAATCAACATTTAAGATCTGCTGGCCCTGTCTCCTCATATTAGAGTTGAAGAAATGGGTACAGAGAGTTACATAATGGGCTGATTTGATCCTTGGGTGAATATGAGAGATGGGACTAAGATTCACAGTCTTTTCTTTTCTCTTCTTTTTTTCCAATATCTGTGCTTCGTCTTAGATCATGAACTGTTACCAAAAGATATGGGGGAACGTTTATTTGTTCAACTATTGCATATTAACAGGCAAGACACTCTCATTGAGGCAGGAGAATTGCTTGAACCCGGGAGGTGGAGGTTGCGGTGAGCTGAGGTCACACCATTGCACTCCAGACTGGGCAACAAGAGCGAAACTCCATCTCAAAAAAAAAAAAAAAAAAAAAGGCATTTGCTACACACTTTGTCCTCCAGGGGCCTGAAGGTTGTGCCCTGCCCACAATGTCTCTTACAATCCTTAGTAGAAATCAAATCAGACTTCAAAAGATTTGTTCTCCTCAAATATTAGCTCCTAATAGCCATACATAACCTAATGACTGAAGTGTCATGGAGAATCACATCTATCTTATTTTACTTTATTTTTTTGAGACAAGGTCTTGCTGTCACCCAGGCTGGATTGCAGTGGCATGATCACAGCTCACTGCACTTCAACCTCCCAGGCTCGATCAGTCCTCCTACCTCAGCCTCCCGAATAGCTGGCACTAGAGGACTAGAGCTAGTGCCACCACGTCCAGCTAATTTTTTCTATTTTTTGTAGAGACAGGGTCTTATCATGTTACCCAGGCCTGCAGAATCACATCTTTAAATAATGAAATTATATATTCAGAATATCTCTGCTATTAAACAGAAATGCTAACTGGGAAGGTATAATAGAGTATCATCAATACCACATTAGTTCTTACATAGTTGTTCATGGTCCATAAGAGAATAAGGTAAAAAATATGGGAGAATTAATTGCAGTCAAGGGGTAAGTCTCAATGCTTACTGAGTGCTTATTATGTGCCATATTCTGGGTCAGATACTGAGAGCGCTGAAATAATAAGACAAGGAGCTCACAGTGAAGTGGGAAAAACAGACATGTAAACAATTATAATACCATGAAGGAAGTACTTACTGAGATAATTATGACACAGACCTAAGGCAGGGCAGGGGGGAAAAGGCCTTCTAATTGAAGAAGGTTATGAGATAATGTGGTGCTTTCAAGGAAATGCAAACTGTGCAGCATGCTTAAAGTACTGTGGGTGCATGTAAGAGTGTGTGTGTGTGTGTGTCCGCACGTGCGTGCGTGTGCACATGTGCAGGAGATAAAGATGTAGAGAGACAGTGGTTAAGATCGGGGTGGAAGAGTTAGAGGATCTGGAGGAGACAGATTTGGGGGTAAGGAGAGGCAGGGAGACAGGAATAGGAGAGGAGAAAAGATTAGAGGGAGAAATGGGGATGGCAGGAGAAGGTGGAGGGGGACAGATTAGGGAGAGATGGGGAGAAAAAATGTGCACATCTGTGTAGTTGTGTGAGAGAGACAGCAACAGCGAGGGGGAGAGAGAGTGTGAGTGTGTGTTGGGAGGAGTAATAATGGTGAGGCTATTCTGTGCAGGCAGAGACCAGTACCTGAGCTTTGTCCTGAAAAGCCTGGTCCAGCATTTCAGGCCAAAGAGAGACCTAACCAGATGAAAGCTTTCGTGCCTGCCATGGGGATCCTCCCTGAACGCCCTGACATGTCGGCCCCATGCCTGACAATGCTGCCATGAGGGAGGCTAATTAGGGCAGATGTTGGCAATGTTCCACACATGTCTCTGGGATCTTTCTGGCCACTCCTAAGTTCTGGAATCAGGGCTCTGTGCCTAAGGCTTCTCAGAACCTGGAAAGGCTGCTGTGGAGAGCATATGGTTAACTCCCTACCACCTACAACCTCACCCATCTGTCCTCAATGTTGCTTAGGAGCTGCTGGACATATATCCCAAATATGCAAACCACTTGCCAGAACTTCCCTGTAGGATTCAGTACTAGAGGCTGACTATGGTAGCTGGCTTAATAATATACCCAGTGCTCTCCCTGCCTCCCCTCCCCGCTTGCCTACTGATACTCCTTATCTCCCAAATAAACCACTTAACGTCAATCCCTGTTCTCCAGGTCTGCTTCAGGGAGAACCCAACCTGAGATAAGGATAAGGGGCACCTGAGTGAAAATGCTTTAAGTTAGGACCAACTGGGGACCCTTCTACAAAAGCAGCTAATACAGGGAACAGGGGCAGAATGAGGAAGAGAAGGACACACTCCTCACAGCGTTAATACTAATATTTACATTCTTGGATTTTTAAATTTTATTTTATTATTTTTTACAAAGACGGGGTCTTGCTCTGTCACCTGGGCTAGACTGCAGTGGCACCATCATAGCTCACTGTAGCCTCAATCTCCTAGGCTCAAATAATCCTCCCATCTCAGACTCCTGAACAGCTGAGACTACTGGTATACTCCCCCGGAGCTGGCAAATTTTTAAATTTTTCATACATTTGGGGTCTCACTACGTTGGCCAGGCTGGTCTCGAACTCCTGGCCTCAAGTGATCCTCCCACCTCAGTCTCCTAAAGCACTGGAATTACAGGCATGAGTCACCATGCCCAGATCTAATATTCATATTTTTGAACTGTGTTTATTCAGCCTCTTTATCCAACTGACAAATAGCAACGTAGATACAACACCATATTTTCAAAACTACATAACAGGTCAATATCCAGGCCTCCAAATAAAGTATTATGAGTCATAAAATCAGTTGACAGTGTTTTCAGCATTTAGCCCATTTTAAGAGATTTTAACATTACATAATGAAATGGGCCCAGCCCACCTCTACAAAGTGGGAGAAACTCACCTGGTGTTAATCTGGGCAAAATCCCCACTTCTCTCATATTGCTTCACTTGGTTTCACTTTCTGGAATTCTACCAATTTGAAGTTCATTTGTATTAACTGTAGTCTGTTCAAGGTGAAATTCCTGTGGCATTTTGGGGTGTGTGGGCAATGCACTGTGAACACCTTTCTCCTAAGACTTATGTGAGGTCAGTCAAGAAAGGAGGTAAAGATCTGATACCCAGATGGGCAGCATTAAGAGGAGACAAGTGGTTCTGGCATACCTGGGCCACCACTGGCCCAAAAGGAAGAAGAAGAAAGAAATGAGAAAACACCAGAGACAAACATCACCTATGTTGAACCTCAGCTCACTGCACAGCCTGCTGAAGAAGGTGGGATCACTGGTGGGGTCTCTGACATTGCTGTCTGGGTTTGTAGGCACACAACAAACATTGGCTTTGGACTAAGGGTGTCAGCCAAAGTCCAATTCTCCATGGAACTCACATCTTTCCAGAGTGTAGTGCCATGATTTGGTCTTTTATGCTATCAGAAGATTTTTTTTTTTTTTTTTAAGACAAAGTCTCGCTCTGTTGCCAGGCTGGAGTGTGGTGGCAGGATCTCTGATCACCTCTTGGGTTCAAGCAATCTTCTGTATCAGCCTCCCGAGTAGCTGGGACTACAGGCATGCACCACCATGCCGAGCTAAATTTTGTATTTTTAGTAGAGATGGGGTCTCACTATGTTGGCCAAGATGGTCTCGATCTCTTGATCGAGGCTTGGGCCTGTTTCATACTTGGATGGAAGACTTCCTGAGAATGCCAGGTACTGTTGTAGACTTAAAAAAAAAAAAAAGAGGTTGAAAGAAAAAAAGGAGGAAAATGCTCTTCATTATAGAGGAAAGTCAGCTAACAGAAGACACAGTAAAACAGAAAATCACCACTTTTCATAAGCTCCACTAGAAATAACTGATTCAGGCAAGGCTCATTTATGGATCCTAAAACCATTAAGTAAAAGGATATTGAGGAACACAATATTCCCATGATGCCAACCCATCAGTCCATAGATTAATTACTAATATGCAAAGGGGAAAAAATGTACCTTACAATAGAGACATCTAGAGATCATCACCTTAACCAAGGGATCAAAGTCAGCCTCACTCAGGGGCCACCTGCCATCACGGGCCTCCTGATGGGATACAGTTGGAAGTATAACCTCACCTGTGACTATTTAACTTAAAATTAATTAAAATTGGCAAAATTAAAAATATAGTCCTTAGTGTCACAAACTACATTTTAAGTGCTCAATAGCCATATATGGGCAGTTAGCTGTATTGGATAGCACCAGCATAGATACAGAACATTGCCATCACTACAGAAAGTTCTATTGGACAGTGTTTGTACAGGCCACATTTCCAGTTCACAGGAAATACAGGGGATGCTGTGCAAGTTTAATGATGCCTTAGATTCAGAATGAGCATCATTCTACAAGCAGATGGACTGCCCTTTTTCAAAATAGCCAATAACACGGGGGGGAAAAAGGAGAAATAGTAGGAGACTAAATGAGATTAAAAGAGACAAAATAAAAAAAAAAGGCAAAATAACCAATAACATAAAAAACAAACAATATGTGATCCCTAGTTGGCTCCTGGTCTAGAAAAATAAATTACTTTTTGGGAGAGGTGGGGAAATCTGAATATGAGCTGAATATTAAATAATATTATGTCTGGGTGCAGTGGCTCAAACCTATTAATTCCAGCACTTCGGGGGGGCCAAAGCAGGAGAACTGCTTGAGACCAGTAGTTCAAGACCAGCCTGGGCAACATAGTGAGACCTTATCTTATGAAAAATAAAAAATTCGCCAGGCATGGTGGTGCACACCTATAGTCCCAGCTTGAGGCTGAGGAGTGAGGCTCGCCTGAGCACAGAAGGTTGAGGCTACCGTAAGCCATGATCACGTCACTGCACTTCAGCCTAGATGACAGGTTGAGGCCCTATCTAAAAAAAAAAAAAAAAAAAAAATTATGGAATCACTTTTAATCTTCTTAGATGTGATAATGATATGATTATGTAGGAGACTGCCCCTGCATTTAGGAGATCCATGCTCAAGTGCTTAGGAAAGAACTGTCATGATGCCTGCAGCAGACTTGCAATGGCTCAGAGAGAAAAAATATACATACAAAGCAAATATAACAAGATATTTACAACTATTGCGGCTAAGTGAATTATGAGTGTTCATCATAATGATTATGGTAATTCTTCTGTGTATTTGAAAATTTTACAATAAAAGGCGCAAAAAAACAAAAGTGTGGGGGGCTCAGTAGCAGGGTAGCAGACAGAATACTGAATCCAACTCCTCCTGTGACCAGTGTTCACCTGGGTTAAACGGGACAATACCTGACCAGTACAAATGGCGAGGATAAAGGCCTAGCTCCTGGCCCTCTACATTTGGCATAATTTGTAGAATAGCAAGTAGCTAAGCACCTTCACCTTAAGGCGAAGAAGGTGCCAGAACCAGAGAGGGCTGCAAGGGCAGTCACTCTGGGTTGCACAGTCCAGGAGCATGAAGGCAAACTCCTTGGGGACAGTTCTACCCTTACTGCTATCCCAATGCACTGTTTGCCAGAGAAGAGGGGCCCAGACCATAGAAAAACAACACTTTCAAGACAGAAGCAGTTTCTAGAGAGAACCCCAATGCTGCTCAAATTCAGTCATTCAGCCAACAAATTCCATGTGTCACACTGTGCCAGGTACTGGCTAGTGATCTTGCCTGTGTTACAGATATCCCATTGATTCCTCAACTAAAGGAGAATGTTGGAAAATGCAGTATCAAGTTCTCTGATAAAATTTAGCCACATGGTAATTCACAGAAAAGGCTGATACTTAATCCTAAGTATGAACAACTGAACATTAGTGACTACCACTGATCTGAAACTTAACTACTCACTATTTCTCATTTTAGCAAAAAAAAAAAAAAAAAAAAAAAAAAAAAAGATTAGAAACAAAACATAAACCTGGGGTGTGCACCTCTAATCCCAGCTACTCGGGAGGTACACAGCTACATGGGGTGCGCATGTGTAATCTCAGCTACTCAGGAGGTACACGGCTGTGGGGTGTGCACCTGTAATCCCTGCTACTCAGGAGGCTGAGACAGAAGGACGACTTGAGCCCAGGAGTTCAAGTCTAAACTGAGTAACACAGTGAGGCCCAATCTCAAAAATAAATAAATAAATAAATAACAAGAAATACAATAAAGCATAGTAAAAAACAGGATGTCACCTTCAGTTTCTGAAGCTTCTCTGTATTTGTGGTGAAGTGCCCAACATGAGCTTGGACACGCTCCAATTGCTTTAAATATTCTTGATTTCGAGTATGAGCCTTCTTTTCAGATTCACATATTTCCTTCAGATAATTCTTTAGTTTCACATATTTCAGCTTAACTCTAGAAAAATAAAAGCAGGTTTAAAACAATGGACTAGAGTTGGACGAATCTAAGAGAATTTTCTTTATCAAAATTGTTAATGAGACAATGTATTCTAAGATATTTTACCCAAACCACTGAAACCCAAAGGACAAAATATATGTACATATTTTTGGAGAGAGAAAATGAATGCGGTACCACTGAGGTATCATACTGGTTTCCTCTAAAGCATAACTCTCCTGAGAAATATATACAAGACCACATTCTAACATTCATACAGTAAAGATTTCTATGGATTTATTTCTCAAAATTAAATGTGATGTCAAGAGTGGTGTCTATGTGGCCATGTTCGACAAATATCTCACTAACATTCTGATATATGATAGACAATTTCAAAAACAACTCCTCATATGGAAATTAAATCAAACTGCAAATCACAATCCATAAAATTAAGAAATCAAAAAGAAATTTAAAAATTTAAAATACAAAAATTTCTCGTTTAGCGAATATAAACATATTTGTTAGAAATTACAACAATATAGTTCACTATTAAAATATTTTAAAATAATATATGAACTGTAACTACTCCAACTGTGAAAAACCCTTTAAGACTCTTATCCAAAGTGTAATAGCAAAAACATACTCTGCATTCCAACTTTCCTGTACTTAAAAAAAAAAACCTGGATAGTTCAACTTGTGCATCCACTTTTCTCACAGTACCAATGCTGTTAATTCTAACTCTTCTTCCCTATTACACAGCATTTCTATTGTTGGCTCAATAAATCATTCAACATTCTTTCATCAAACAAAAACACATTTTAAAATGACAAAAATATTTACCCTTAAAACAAAGATTTGCAAAGATGCTGGAGATGTCCAAAGCTGTTTAGTAACAGACCTTAAAATTCCAACCCTAGGCCAACAATTTTCAAGAAAGTCTTTATTGTGTTAATAATTCTGTGCTTTGACCATGGTTGGCTGTCTTCATTTTTCTTTCTGAACAAAAAACTGAAGGCTGGTCTTATTGCTGCCCATGTCTCTGCATTTTTGATGCAAGTAACTGCAATGCAGGTGGAACCTAACATACTGTCTTTCACACTCAGGCACTCAGTAAAGCTGCTGCTGGTGGTGTCTACCTGGAGTGGGTATAATAGTACCATGCCTTTTCCACCCAAATTCTAGTTCCATTCCCGCCACCACATTAACCTTCAAAGTAGAACACATCAGTAACTCATCTGCCCAAGAAATCATCCATATATTCAGCACTCCAAATATCAAAGTCTTTCAGCTAAGCTCAACAAAGAAAACAATGAAATAAGTAAATACATGATGAATGAATGCTATGAGGGAAACTTATAAAGGTCTTCTACATACTGGGCAACCTGACCTAGCTAAAAGAGTCAGGGAGGCTTTCCCAGTGGAAATAATTTTCAGCTAAGACCTGAAAGATTGGTCAGGCACAGTGGCTCAGGCCTGTAATCCAAGCACTTTGGGAGGCTGAGGTGGGAGGATCACTTGAGGTCAGGAGTTCAAGAGCAGCCTGGCCAGAATGGTGAAACCCCGTCTCTACTAAAAATACAAAAATTAGTCAGGTGTGGGGGCATTGCCTGTAATCCTAGCTACTCAGGAGGCTGAGGCAGGAGAATCACTTGAACCCAGGAGGCAGATGCTTCAGTGACTTGAGATCATACCACTACACTCAAGCCTGAGCAACAGAGCAAGACACTGTCTCGAAAACAAACAAACAAAAAACCTGAAAGATGAATGAGAGTCAATCAAAACTGGTAAAATCAAAAAAGAAAAGATGAGGGTAAAACATTCCAGGCAGGGAAAACAACATGTCAGAAAGCTCAAAGGCAATAAATAGGAACAAGAATGTTGATAAAATTATAATAAATAATAATTGACTCCAGGTCAGACGCTGCTTTAAGGCTTTATATGAATCTTGTTGAGTTCTCACAGCTATCATTATTCCCATTTGCCAGAAGAAATGGGTGCACAGAATGTTGGAGTAATTGCCCCAAGGTCACAGGCTAAGAGCTGGTGAGGCTCAGATAGAACTGAGGTAAACTAACCACAAAGCCTAGAAGTCTATGTTATATTACAAAAGATCCCATCATGCTTAAGAACCTGACGTTTCAGTCAGTGTCAAATCTTAGGGGGAGGCTGGAAAGAGATGGTGATGGTAAATTAAAAAGGATATACATAATGGCGGGTCTGGTGGGCTGCTGGATGGGACACCGCTCGTGCCCACCTCACACCTCTTGGCCCAACCTTTTCTCTACCAGCCAGTCACCATAGCTGCCACGGCTTGCTGCATGTGGTATAACCTCGCCTGAGAACATCTGCCTCTGCCTCAGCTGCACTTAGCATCTTGCTATCTCAGGGATGCCTTTCTGAGTTTGCAGCATGGAAAAGCCTAGGTGTAAGGAGTTATCGCCACCTGGGGCTGCCCTTACCAGTGGGGGACAGGAACCAGTAGGAATGCAACCCCATCTCCTTTCGCAGGAGTCACTGTGCAAAGCAGAAGGGTATATTGCTCCTCTGAAGGCTCCTCTGAAGGTCTGGAGGGGCTGAGCCCCAGGTGCTCACTGCAGTGAACAGCTCTTATTTTGTTCGGTCCAGCTCTGCTCTCCAATTTTAGGTGATCACCGCGTCAAATAAATTACCACCTATACACAGACCCTCATCTCAGGCTCTGCCTTCTGGCAGGTACCAGGTGGAAGCAGCCTTGTTTGGATTTTCTCCCACAGGCAATCTAAGCAAGCCTATTTTTAGAAAATCATATCCTTAGTAAGAGACTGGGAGAGAAGCAGCAGCTCAGTGAACTGACAGCTTGGTAAAGGTGCCCATCCTTTTCTCCCACCACCAGAAGGCCAGGAGGCTTCCCAAGAACAGACTACATGCAACGTCTACACACAGTCTTCTGCCTCTTTAGCCATGGGCTAGAAAACTGGCAGCTGCCAAGGATCCCCTCAGACTTCGGCCCACTCCTGAGGCCACAGCATCCGCAATGCTGGCTATTTCTTCCTCACACAAAACAAGTGAGTTCTTGTCTCTTTCAGAGTTACTAGAGACATATGGCTGCTTTAGAAACCATACATCTGGCTTTAGAAGTACGCTAAATCTTAAAACCAAAGAATGATTTTGAAGACAAGGAAAAGAACTGACCTAAGACGTAATTTGATTTTAAAGGATTCTTATAAAGGATTCTTAGCCTCTCTCTTCTGGATAGATCTCTTCATTTCTCACTTATAGTGTGACATGAATAAATCACGAATTTAATGCTATCAAAGCCAGAAGTTCTTCATATGAATAATACAAGAGGTAATGCCATACTTTTAGCTTAAGGATAAAGTTGTTTTTATAAAATAGAAATCAAAATATTTAAAATCTGCTCTTAATAGCAGAGGAAGAAACCTAAAAAGGATAATATGTACAATATATTATTCACTGCTTATAATTTTAACAGCCATTCTCATATATCCATGAACAAATGGGATACCATGTAACCCTGCCTACAGTAGTACGTTGAAAGATCAACCACAAAATTATGTCTTAATCATCACACAAGCTCAATGTGTTTAAATTGCAACCAAAAAGATAAGACTATGTCTTACTTTAATATTTTTAAGCAAAACAGATTCTTGAAATAAAACAAATATGAAATAATGAAAATATTTTGATCTCATACCAATTTTAACCAAATTTATTTGATAGTAATTAAACTGCAATGTTTTATTTCAAATTATTACACACTAAAAATAAGAGAATGGTTAAGAGTACTCCAATTAGGCTGGGCATAGTGGCTCACAGCCGTAATCCCAGCACTTTGGGAGGCCAAAGCATGGGGGGATCACTTAAGCTCGGGAGTTTGAGACCAGCCTGGCCAGCACGGTAAAACCCAGTCTCTGCTAAAAATAGAAAAATTAGCCAGTGTGGTGGTGGGCGCCTTCCCAGGTATCCCAGCTACTTGGGAGGCTAAGGCAGAAGAATTGCTTGAACCCGGGTGGCAGAGGTTATCACGAGCCAATATTACGCCACTGCACTCAGCCTGGGCGAATGAGCAAGACTTCCTCTCAAACAAAACAAAACAAATAAACAACAAAAAAACCAGTCTTTAGCGACAATATTTATGATATAACATTAGGGTTAAATTTTTTATTAATATATGGAACCTGGCTTGAAAACTGTCCCCACTGTCATCTCTTACCTGTATGTATCAGACTGATGATATTCATAAAGTTTCTTTTCCAGGTCCAATCTCTTCTTTTCACTATAATAAAGAAAGAAACATTTTATAAGTAATTATACTGATAAGTAATAGGGAGTTGGATTTAGACCATGCTCTCCTTTGAAATCATTCCTTTGATGCAAGGTGTTGATTAGAGGTCAAAAAAAAAACTCCAAATACCAAATTACTCCTTTATGAAAATGTTTCTCTGGTCTAAGAAGAAAATGCCAGATGCATCCAAAACAAAGACATAAAAGTATGCAGCCGTCACCAGGGAAATCTAAAAAACAAAATGAACACCAATATGAGGCAGAAGAACAAGATTCACAAAGTAAATGGGGAAACACAATAGGAAAAGGCTGGGAAGCAGGTACCTTAATTTAGCAAGTATTTCTTGAGTGCCTATGATGACCCAGGCACTATTCTAGGCCTGGAAACTAATATGGTAAACTAGTCAGCCAAGATCCCTGCCCTCAGACAGTTGACATTCCAGGGAGAAGGACAGACAATAATAAACAAGATAAGTGTATAAAATGTAATGTGGCTAGACTTCTCTGAGTCTCTGGCATTTCAGTGATGGGGTCCCATTACATCTTGTATACAGATTGAAGGCTGGTGGCTTGCTCTGTTTTCAACCAGACAAGCCTGGGCACAGCCAAGTGCATGAGCTAGAAAAGTCCTCTGAAAAGTAAACCTGGCCTCACTTACATGAAAACCAGGTCTCCTAACACTATCATTTCAAATTTGGAAGAATTTCTTTTTATAACTCTGTAATGGTACCATTATTTGTCACAGGTTGCTGTTTTCCTGGAGCTACTATCAGTAAAGACAGAACCTGTGCTGTTCAGGTGAGTACTAGCAGGAGGGGGAGGAGAACTGGGCAGCAAAGGAAGCAGAAGCAGCCAAAACCAGGGGGCTGGGAGGTAAAAATGATAAAGCCATTCAGTCCCAAGAAGAATGCCTGGGAGGTTTAGCCACAGAGGGTTTCATTTGAGCACCACCATTTGCTTCAAACCCACCTAGCTGGAGCTAAATTGCTAATCTAAGTTAACATTAAGTAAAGGCCAAAAAAGAAACCACATAATATCCTATCCAAGTGGAGAAACCTAAATAAAAGGCTATGAAACAAAGATAAAGACTCCAACAGAGGTGATCTCGGGTTGGCTTCCTGAGGGAAAGGGGCTGGCCTCATGTTCCGTTTGTGAGCTCTTAATTATTAGTTTCCATATTTCTTCAGATAATTTTTTTCCTTTAAAAAAAGATCATCCCCAAAGTCGCTGTTAGCTACATTACAGGTTAAATAAGTTTCTTTCTTTTGCATAATGTTAAATGGAAACTACTATTTAACCAAAATTCATTTACTGGAAAAATGGGGTCCAGACACAGAATCTTCACTTGGGGAACACAACCTATGGGCTGGAGTATGCCTATGTTAAAAAGGGAAGAAAAAAGATTAAAAGGAAAAAAATGACAAAAACACACATTTTTAACTAACAGCATCACAGATCTTTACTTTCTCACTAAAAGTTAACTTAGAAGTGAAGGACATATGGCATAATTGCTTCCACATTAGAAATTTTTATTAGTTACCACTCCCCCTCTAGAGTTTCACAATCAGTTGGGTACTCAGTTCATGAAGAATGAATGACTGAATAGTGTGAGTAACTTGTCATTACATTACATTACAAGGACAGGAAGACCTCTAAATACATCTATGACACTGCACCCTGGGGTAGTGCTTCATTTCTGTTGTATTCCTAAGAAAGCATGACTGTAGTCTGGTAATGAGACACCATTAGACAGAGACAGACTCAGCTTGAGGGTCACCTTCTAGAATGAAAGCTGTACTCTATGAACTTGTTAGGAACATGAAAGACAGGGAAAGATTGAGGAATCATTCTAGATGTGAGGGGACTGAAGAGACATGGCAACCAAATGCAACCCAGGTTCCCAGATGAGCCACTAGACCAGGACAAAAAAAAAAAATGGCTGGGGGGAGGGGGGCATTATTAAAATAGCCGGTGAAATCTGATGGGGTCTGTGGGCTGGTTTCACCACTAGGAGGGCTATACGGTGATTATGTACAAGAACATCCTTGGTTTTTGGAAATACACATTGAAGATTCTAGGAGTGATGAGGCATCATACATGCACTTCTCATAGCTCAGAAAAGGCTAATGGTTTTAGACAGAAAGATTTAGATAGATACTGAACTGATAGTATCAATGAAAGACAGAATGAAAATCTAATAAAATGTTAATAGTTGAGGAATCTGGGTGACAGGAATATTAGAAGTCTTTGTCCTACATTTGCAACTTTTTTGTAAACTAGAATTTGCTTTAATATATAATTGCATTAATTATATAATTATATATAATTAATATTTAAATTATATAATTGTATTAATATATACAATTATATTTCTCTCTCTCTCTCTCTCTTTCTCTCTCTCTCCCTCCCTCCCTCCCTCTTTGAGACGGAGTGTCGCTGTGTTGATGGAGTCTTGCTATGTTGCCCAGACTGGAGTACAGTGGTGCAAGCTCGGCTCACTGCAACCTCTCCATCCCAGGTTTAAGCGATTCTACTTCAGCTTCCCAAGTAGCTAGGATTACAGGCATGTGCCACCACACTCAGCTAATTTTTGTATTTTTAGTAGAGATGGGGTTTCGCCATGTTGGCCAGGCTGGTCTCGAACTCCCGCCCTCTGTTTCTCAAAGTGCTGGGATTACAAGTTTGAGCCACCACACCCGGCCACTTTAAAATAATTTTTAACATTCATCTATGACTTCTAGTGAAAAAGGACCACAGTCACTTTGGAAATCCATTACCTCCCAAGCAGCAAGTTCTTAGTAATTAATATAAAACTTCTTCAGCAGATGCAGACATCTGCTGTTCACACTTCTTCTCTATCATAACACTTCATACTCCGACAATCAAACACCTCTTGGCTTTCTCTCCCAGGCAAAATGGCACTAATCTTGTTAACTCTTCTTCACAGGCCTATTTTCTAGCCCCTCATCCACACTGCAGCACCTCTGAATGCTGAGCCCTCCATGTCTTTTTTAAATTTAATACTAAAAATCAGGTATTTGCCTCAATGAAAAGCTTTTCCATGATTTGCAATTCCTACACATTAAATCTCTATTTCAGAATCTTTGAAACATCCATTCCTGGGATGCTTACCCATAGTTCATGCTTTTAGTCACCTGCACCCCTCACTTGGACCTTTCAGTTTTACACAGCTGAGTGGTCCTTATCTGGCTGAGTTTTCTACTTTTAAGCCACTTGTAACTCTGTTTTTGTCTCGATACTACAATTCTATACCATCTTCAGCTTACTCTACTAATAAATATCTCAGTATCAGTTTCTAGGCTATTATGATATTTTACTCTGAATCAATATAGGCACTGAAAAAACCATGGCTGGCTAATGGGTCCTTTTAAAGGGATGTTTTTACATAACTGTAAGAGCCAATTCCACTTATAAGTTTCTATCATGCTTGTGGGTACTATTCACACTGTAACAAGTCACTCCATTAGACTCTTTTAGATTCAATTATTGACTTTCACCACAATGCAGAGAAAACACTGTACACATACAGGAAAACATTCCGACTATAAAATTGCATCTACATGTAATCACAGCTAAGATGACTTGGGCTAGAAATATGCTGGTTATTCGACAGCTAACATTGCAATGACCACCTCTAAAAGGGCTGAGAAAGAGGGAGTTTTTTTGTCTCTCACTTCCCAGAAGTTTCTGGATTGATAAAGCAGCTGTGGCTACCCAGGGTTGCAACCTATGAAATGACTCAGAAATTTAAGAGACAGTGGTTTCCGTAGTCACTGGGATTGTTTGTGTTTGTTTAAAAAGGTATTATCCAAGGCTGGGTGTGATGGCTCACACCTGTAATCCCAACACTTTGGAAGGCAGAGGCAGGCTAGATCACCTGAGGTCAGGGTTTCAAGATCAGCCTGGCCAACATGGTGAAACCCCAACTCTCTGCTAAAAATACAAAAATTAGCTGGAGTTGGTGGTGGGTGCCTGTAATCCCAGCTACTTGGGAGGCTGATGAAGGACAATCACTTGAACCTGGGAGTCAGGCATTGCAGTGAGCTGAAATCATGCCATTGCACTCCAGCCTGGGCAACAGAGTGAGACTATGTCTCAAACAAATAAAAAGGTACAACCAAACACTCAAATTGGATACAGACAATAATATTCTTTACACATTGCTTTGCAAAACTACAACTTTAGGCTTTTTTCTTTTTTACTTTAAGGCCTATTATTCTAGCAAAGAGAAAAAATAAATCTGTGGCTTACTTTTGCATATTAGTCAAGCCCCCTTATTCTGGTAAAGAACCAAGATTCAGAGAGATGGAACAATCTGCTCAAGGTCACACAATAGTTCATAACCTAGAATCCAGGTTTTGATGTTTCTACTGCAGCCTTTTCTGTATCTAGAGTTATTTGCCTCTAAAACTGTGTGCAATGTGCATTAATTTGAATCTGTTGTAAATTCTTAAAATAAAAAATGAACACACAGATCAACAGATTTATACTGACTTAAAAATAAAGCAAACCACCAAATGCAGAACCATGAACAGACTATAAAATTTGACTCAAATTCCTTATATGTTTTCAACAGCCTCACCTTGTTTAATAATTAAAGGAATAAGTGTTAATCATAAAGAACATAATCATTATACAATTATTGTGCCATAAGGACTATAAACAGCCAGGTGTTCCTAGCACAGCAAACAAAAATAACTTACAACTAATAGTTCAAAGAGAACGCTATTTATGAGTGCTGTAAGAAAGCCAAGAGTCACAAAAGTTAAGGAATGGGTTGAAACAGGGAAGGCTCTGCAGGAAGTGATTTCTTTCTAAAGTTAGAAATTAAAAGGTCACTGATATGGATGAGTGATGATATGTCAGAAAGAAAATAGGATGTAGAAAAGGAGCACAAAGGAAAAAAATGATAAGGACCGTTAAGAAAGCCTGTTGTAGATGCTCTATAAACATCTGACAAGAATTAAATCTAGCATAAAATAAATGTAATTCCTTTTCAAAATCACTTACTTCTGCCTTTATTTTCCATGTAATTATTGTTATCATTTTAGCATTGTCATACACAGAGCTCTCCTGTTCACTAGAATGGTTTTGTAACTTTTAACACTCATTAAATGTTTTGTTTATCAAGAGATCCAAAAATCCATTTCTTTTCTTGTCAACTAATGAGATTTACAAGTCTAATTAACTTAGCAGCTAAATAAGAGGTCCAGCAATTTATTTTACGTGGTTATTTATAGTGCATTGCGGTATAATTTTCTCTTTCTATGCACTCTTAGATCTGTTTTCGGTGGTTCCCATCTTTTATATCTTAATCAAAGGCATCATGAACCTTCTAGAAGCTGGACTTCTCTAGCTGGAAATTCATCCCTTCGCTGGAAATCTAGCCAGCCCTCGCTCCCCACAAAAGTCTCCAGAATTAAACAGGGCACATGTTTGACAAACACACACACACACACTCCCGTCTGCGTTCCAGGACCTGTCATCATTGATGCAGTGCAGCTGTCACGGCGGGATGACAATTTGAAGAGAGTTGGGAGGGGGCGTGTAAAGGGGACAAGAGAAACTCACAGGGCTTGATGGAGAGTGACAGGCAGAAGAACTCCCACTTTCACTCCTGGGCAAATTCTGTGACGCGGCCGCATCCTCCAACCCGAGACCAGGCTTTAGCAGCTATTGAGGGGGACGGGGGGCGGTCTCTCACCTCTCTCCGCTCCCATGCCAAATACAGGGGGTGTCTCTAGCAAATGCTGTCCTCTAGGCCCCACTGGAAGCCTGGGGGGCGGTGCGCGCGGGCCTAGGCCCCGGGGAACCTCGGGAAGGAAAAGGGGGCAGGGCTCGCGGAAGACCCTCGGCGCCGGCCGACTCCCCACCCCTGCCCCAGTGGACCTACCTGTCCCGCAGCCCGTGCTGGAGTTGGCCCAGCCTCTCGTAGTAGTCTACACTCGACTGGGGCGCAGACGATACGGGGGTCCGGCTCATGCTGCAGCCGCCGCTGCGCCAGCTCAGCACAGCCTCTGGGCGGCAGTTGGGCCGGGGTTGCCAGAGGAGACCGCCCCACGATGCACCGCGGGTAAACACCTCGCCAGGCCGCCCGCAGGAGGCGGGGCAAACGCCGTAGGGGGCGGGGCGCCGAGGAGGGGCGGGGCGCCGAGGAGGGGCGGGGCGGTGCCGGCTTTGTGGGGGGCGGGACGGAGACCTGCATGGGGCGGGGAAGAGGCGGGGAAGAGGCGGGGCGTCGCGAGGCCGGGGCGGGCCACGTCTGAGGGGCTGGGGCTCGGTGCTCTCTTCTCTCCGCCTCGGCACCCGCGTCTCTTCCCCTCACCCTCCAGAATTCGCACCAACTACGGTAATGTTTACAAGGCGCATTCCCTTCCTTTCTCCCGTCTCTCCTGGCTTCTTTTCCTCGGCCTCCTTTCTTGCCAGGATTTGCTGAGTGCCAGGCACTGTGCTAAGCTTGTTCTATTATATCAGCACACAAAAGCGACACAAAACACCGCAGAAAAATACAAACCCTCAAATACTGAACAGCTGTGCTCAGCCCCGACAGTGCACCAACCTTTTACTGGAAAATCCTTGCTGAATCTAAGGATGTGTTTCGTGCTCCAGATGCCAGAATCATTGGCGAGAGGGAAAAATTACTAACTAGTCGCTTGGGAAGCAGAAGCTTGTGAAGACAGCTCTAATGGACAATGCTCCAACGTCCTGTAGGATCCTGTAGCAGGAGTCCTGGGGCCAGACTGCTGGGTTCACATTCCCTATCCGCTTCCCAGCTGCCAGGCCGTGTGCTAGTCACCCTTTGAAGCCCAGGTTTACTCATATGTAAAGTGGGAGGCTGTTAACACAGGATTAATTCGATTGGTTAATACGTGTTAGTGTTTATAAGAGAACCCAACACATAGAAAGCATTAGGTTTTATCATCACCAGCTTGGGGAAAAAGCTTCCTGAAGGAAGCCAACCATATTCCAAAACCCACTGGGCAGAAAAATTAAGCCTTTGCCTGCCTGTCTCTGCCTGCCTGCCTTTGTTCGTTCATTCCTTCCTTCCTTTTTTTTTTTTTTTTTGTTTGTTTGTTTGTTTGTTTGAGATGGCCTCTTGCCCAGGCTGGCGTGCAGTGGTGCAATCTCAGCTCACTGCAACCTCTGCCTCCCAGGCTGAAGAGATTCTCATGCCTCAGCCTCCTGAGTAACTGGGATCACAGATGTGCAGTACCATACCCAGATAATTTTATTTTTGTATTTTTTTGTGTTTTTTAGTAGACACAGGGTTTCACCCTGTTGGCCAGGCTGGTCTTAAACTGCTAACCTCAGGTGATCCACCCACTTCGGCCGCCCAAAGTGTTAGGATTACTGGCATGAACCACTATGCCCAGCCTGTAGAGTTTCTTTAGTCTCTTATTTTTCACTTCTTTTGTTTTCTTTTCTATGTCATTAATATTACTTACACTTACAAGATGCAAGGTGTGACAAACTAAAATTGTAAGAGAGATGGAACACTCAAAGACCAACAACACAAAACTATGATGTAACTCAGTCTTCCATTCACATTTGCCACGTCCAGGGCAAGAGTGAATGGAGGCCCTCATACCATCTGCCTAAATATTAAATTATAATTCAAGATAACGAACTGTAGGTAAAATATGTGTTCTCTTCTCCACTTTGACCAATGCCTTCTTAAGAACCTGGAAAACTAGGGTGCAATTTAGTTTGCCTCCTTCTCTCGCTCCCCCCAACTCCATTTCCCACTCCAGGCTCAGTCTTGCATTGTGAGGGGTCTCACACACAGGCAGGGATGTGTGTGCCCTGCTTCTTCTCCTCCTCCTCCAGCCAACAAATCCTAACTCTGCCCACATCCCCACCTCAGCCTCCTCTTGGTCCAGCACTGAGCCATGCCAGTGATGGTCACCCTTGCAGGAAAGACCCAGCCAAAAGGTTTTTTAAAACCTTAGAAAGCAGCTTGGGCCCCACTGAGCAGGGAATGTCTGGGTGTTGGGTACTTAGAATATATTCTAGAAGAGCATGTGTATGTGCACCCCAGGTGGGCCTGTCATCTGGCCCTGGGAACTCCCTGCCTTGCATGGAGCACCATGGGCAGAGAAGGGCTAGAACAGACCCTCTAATATACAGAAGCCAGGGCAGAGGCCTTGTTGCCCTAGTCTAAGGGTAGCACTGATGTGACTTGTATTTAGTTATTCAAGTTATAGCCGATTGATTCAGTGGTAACGTGCAAAGGCTTATTTTAATGAGTTTAGTGTCACTAACATTTTACTAATATTTTAGTACAACCCAGGCCAAAAAAAAAAAAAAAAGCATTAAATTTTTAGGATATTTTCTTTAGGACCATGCCCCCAGATTAGTTTTTTTTTTCTTTTAATTATCCCAAACAATCAGTATAACTATTTTCAGCAAATAGCACAGAGTAAGCAGATTAGGCAGTCATTTAACACCCACAAAGTTTTATTAGGCAATTTTAGGAGAGTCTAAAATTAAATGTAATTAAACAGTAAATACATAATTCGAAATAATTGTAATTTGCATCCTATGGTTGATTCATTTGTCATACGTCATGTATGACAAATCTAGATGTAGGATCTCCTTTATTAACAATAACACATAGCAAACAAAGGGACTATTTCTAGGGAATTTATGCTAAAATTATGCATTTTAAATGGTGATAGGCTTTTAATAAATTCCAAGTTCTTCATTTCAAATATTTAATTTGCTGGAGCCCTCTCTTTCAATATTTTTCTTTAGACCCTTATTTAGCTGAGATTATTTCTGTAAGCAGCCCTGCTTTTAGCTCACTGGCCCAAGAGTCATCAAGTCTGCTTAGATGAAGGCTTCTTGTAAGTCCCGGAATGTCTTAGCTGTAACTTAGAGGGAGACTAGCCTCATTTCCTTGTTTTACATGTGAGGAGAAGGGTTCAGGGCAGGTAAGGGACTTGGCCAAAGTCACATAGCTGAAATCTATGTAATATTAATGAGTCTAGTTCAAAATATGGATCCCTACTGGTCCCATTAAGCAAACAGCAAGGGGAGCCAGCGTCTCAGCCCAGAAATCGCATGAATCTTGGGGTGCACCAAATGAAATTGATGTTTTTGTAGCTCAAAAACAGTTAATAAGTGAAATATTGATTTTGGAAAATACATTGAAATTAGAATTTCATATGTATTCTAATTCTGGGAAATTCTAATGTCAACGTATTTCCATATGTGTATGTGTGTATATATGTATATATGTACACATATATACATATATGTGCATATATATGCACATACATGTGCATATATGTATACATATATACATATATGTGTATATATATGTATACACATATGTATATATGTATACACACACACACACACACACACACACATTACATTTACAAGTTTATTATAAGAATACCACAAAGGTTACAGATGAAAAGATTAATCGGATGAAGTCTGGGGGAGGGGTTTCAAGTTTCCATGCCCTCCATGGGCACACCACCCTTCAGGAACCTCCTACACTTGTTCAGCCAGCTCAGAAGCTTTCTGAACTCTGTCCCTTTGTGTCTTTTATGGGGACTTTATTGGGCAGGCATGATCGACAGTTGTGTAGAAATGTGACTGGACAAAGGGGGCATGATCTAATACTAATTGAGTGGTGTTGGAAATAGATGTTCGAAATAGATGCTGGGTGCCACAAAGAAAAATTAGCACTGAGACAAGGGATCTTTCAGCAACGCAATTTTTACTTCCTGGACTGTAGGAAGGGTACTCTCACTAGCCATCTTGCCACGAGAGTACAAAGAACAGAGGGAATACATACAAATTTATTCCTTATGCATTTGGGGTTGTCCTTACTGCACCTCACAATCTAAACTAAAACCCAATTGACTAACAACTTAAAATTTTTCTAAACAGATAAAAGAAATGGAAGGCTGGGACATGCCTGTGAGCACATCCAGCACAGATATCTTGTTTAAAGTACAAGAACATAGAATGTACTATGTACCTGTAAGCATGGCATGTCTAACAGCTACATAGGATAAAGCTTAACAAAGTTATTAGCACACTTATTCTTTAACAAGAAAGAAAACTTTAAAAATGAACTTTTCTACTTTCCACAGGTGGGGAAACCCAATAAGTCCTGTTTTGATTCCTCTGGGCCTCTCAATGCAGCAGCATTTTATATTTTAAAAGGTACATACCATATTGCCTTAAATGAAATCATGTATATTTGAGTTAATAACTGCTTTGATATCATATTAGTTTGCTAGGGTTGCTATAACAAAGTACCACAAACTAGGTGTCCTAAACAATAGGATTTATTGTGTCACAGTTCTGAAGGCTAGAACTTCAAGGTCAAGGTATCCTCATGGTTTGTTCCTTCTGAGGGCTTGTGGAGAGGAATCTGCCACACACCCCTCCCATGGCTTCTGGTGGTTTGCAGGCAATCTTTGGTGTTCCCTGGTTTGTAGACACATCATCTTGACCTCTGCCTTCATGTTCACATGGTGTTCTCCCTGTGTATGTGTCTCCAAATTCTGCCTTTTTATGAAGTCACCAATCACATTGGATTAGATGCTCACCCTTCTCCAGTATAATCTTGTCTTAACTAATTACATCTGCAATGACCCTGTTTCCAAAGAAGACTACATTTTTAGGTACCGAGAGTTAGAATTTCAACAAATGTATTGTGCATGGGACACATTTCAACCCATGACAGCTTTGACAGTAGGAAAAGATTTCATTTTGCAGTCCCTATGCAGAAATATAAGACCTTGCTTCTTACCCCTTTAGAAAATTTGATTTAAAATTAGAGATGAGGCTGGGCAAAGTGGCTCACTCCTATCATCCTAGCACTTTAGGAGGTCAAGGCAGGAAGATCTCTTAATCCCAGGAGTTCAAGACCAACCTGGGTCACATAGTGAGATCCCCACACTCTACCAAATTTTTTTTTTTTTTAGTTAGCCAGCCGTGGTGGCACACACCTATAGTCCCAGCTACTCAGGAGGCTGACATGGGTTGATTTCTTAAGCCCAGGAGTTCAAGACTGTAGTGAGCTATGCACTCCATTGCACTCCAGCCTGGGCACAAGCCAGCTTGCGCAAGACTCTACCAAAATAAAAAA